GATGTCTTTTTAAGGTGAAAAAGATAATAAAAATGATGGCTTTTAAAGCTGAAAACACATCTGTAGAATACATAGTTTTCAGAGATTAATTCAGCATTTGTCCCAGAAAATGCCCTTTTTCAACAGTGTTCTTACAGATAGTTAGTTTGAAAACTTTAAGCTACATTTGTAATGCCTGTCGGATTTTCCTGCATGACTTTCACACAAGAAGCATTTGTTAAACTGTTAAAAATCCTACTTCATATGTTTTAGCATGTTTAAAGACTTCTGAATGATTGATTTAAGACACTTTAAAATCAATTAAGTTCTTGTATTTTAAATAAAATGCAATGCCTTTCAAAAACGTTTTAAATGTCCTGTTTTAGTCTCATAATTAGTGTTAGTTTGCTAACAAAACTACCAGCACCCAAAAAGAAAACATGTATACAACAGTATTTAAACTATATACATATGGCCAAATAAACAAAGTTATATTATTTTAAATAAACTAATTAACAACATCTATGCTACATGCATCTCATCCCACTCCAGTCTCTCTGCAGCTCACATGCAGTTACCAACCAAGCTGCCTAATAGTTTTGGTACACCCAAATTGCAGCTCGCTCATAAAATGTTCCACACACAAATTGCTCGCTCCATGACTCACTTTATACCATATAGGAGCCAAACACACAGGATGCAACTGTGTTGACATGGAAACGCTATAAACAGACACACAGACTCTTATATCTGCAGACCGAAGGAACAAAAGTTGTATTCTTGTCATTTTGTCTCGGCAAATGAGTGAGAAGATGGTGTTTTCCTGGGTAAAAACCTGCAGGATTTCACAGAGAAACACACATTTTGCAACTTATCTTAGCAGTATTTGGTTGGACTGTGTTATAAGCATGGAAACATTGCCATTTCGTTTTTTAAATTGTAAATAAAGTTGCGAGAAGTAAACACTAGTTTTCTACTCGATAACCAACACTGGTCAGCTGCGTCCTCTGCTCAATTTCACTGTATTCCTTATTCTCTGCTTCATTCAAACTCCAGCAATAAACACAATAACTTACTTGGCAAATCTGCAAAAGTCTGGTGTTCTCTGCTTCTCTGCTTCTCTCTGTGCCCGCCTCTCTATCTCCGTCTCTGACTCTGTCTCTATCCAGCTATTCCAGACATGTTTCAGGGCTCGGCCCCAGCCAAATATGGGACGGGGGCGGTAAACAAGGAAGACAGGCTGTGCTGTCACTGGGCCCTCTGCCCTACTGTACACCTCACACACACTGGAACACACACACGTATGCTCCTGTGGCAAGACATTATGTTTAGTGGTTATTTTCATATTTCAGAACTCAGGGTATCATTTTATTCCACATTCGAGCGGTAATTTGATATGACGCTGAGTACTCGAAACATCAAGCCGTTTCACTGAAGATGGAGCATGAAGCACCATTCCAATTAGGGAAGGGTAGAAAAATCAATGAATGTATTTTTTCTATGACTTGAACAAAGTACAACATGAATAAATATTGTAATTTGGTTAATGATTTGGGTTGAGTTTGATCGGTTTGACTAGATCCAGAAATTAGTACTCCTATGTTCTGAATCCACAATCCATGTATTAATACTTTAATCCTGTAACCAAAAGATTCTCTAACTTAATTTCTATGTAGTACCAAACAATGTTGTTAGGACCACGATTAAAACCAAACATGGCTGCCAATGGTTTCCTCTGTACACTCGACTTCTTGCTTTTACTGACATAAGATGTTCGGTGTATAGAAGTTCTTTAAATTATGCGACAGTGGCAATGTTATTCTGATGTTATAATGATGAATATGCCATTTTTAAGAGCAGATTTGCCAGTAGCAGTGCATTCGCTCTATGGCCCAAAGGGTGGCCTTCTGACTGGTCTGACCCTCGGGTCAACAGCTGCCACCACACGGCGCTGCTATTAGTGGAGCAAAGGCAAGCCGACAAACACAAGGTGCACTGCACACACTCTTAACATACCACATAAAAAACTGCAGAACACCAAACAAACATTTAAATGGCATACACAGACACCTATACAAGCCCATATACTGTAGCGCAAAAATACAAACACAAACAGCTGGACTAATACGGTACACCCCCCCCCAACACTTGTCGCAAATACCTTCTGTTTGAAGTACACTAAAGACGCCTCTCCTCGCGTTCCCCATGTGTATGAAATTCACATAACACTAAGCTACATAATCCCGCCGACCCTTTAAAGACACCCATCTTTCGTTGAGTCCTCTCAACTGGATTTCAAAGGTCGCAGGGTTTAAAAATGGCGTCGGGATGAGTGCAGAGCCCCAGATGCATTCAGACATCAACGCCTGAGGATGAAACGTTCGTTTAACGCCCGGACAAATAAGCAAGTCTGGATTCTCCAAATGATATCTGATGAGTGATAACTGTCCACTGTACCGCTCCATGTAAAAATAGGCCATTATGTCATGTCAATGTTATTCGTGTGGCATCGTGTTGGGATTGTTTACTCAAATGTATATTAACATCCTCTAAGTGCTGTTTTCCCAATGGTGCAAGGACTTTTTCCAACAACAAACCAGAAATGCAAGGTCTTATTTCTCAATAAGTTCATCTAAACACGTCAATTGCCTGAATTTAAAAGCCTCAAGCAGTCTACGATTGTGTAATCGCAGACTGCTTTGGATCTTAAATAAAGCTCTACCGTTGTGTCAACTGTAAATAACCAAAAGGGTCCTTCAAATGTATTTCCTTTTGGTTGTGGGTTGAGCAGAGCCACATTTGAAATAAAGGTTAGGAACCGTGATGAGAATTGGCAAGAGACGGCCAAAATATCACGATGTCGTTTAGTGGCATTGGGTGTTTCAGCTAACTGGAACTCAAAGAGAACTTCTGCCAGCGTTTGGGTCTACACGTCGACAGTACAAATCCAAGGCGCTCTGGACACCAGATCCACAAAGCCAGCAATGATGAAGTAAGCTTTATATTGATTTGGGCATCGACAAAACTATAAAGTGCAGGGCGGACCAGCTGTGTAGCGATATATCAGAATTAACGTTCTTTATATTTCTCATAGTGGGACTGCCAAATACAAAAGAGTATTATTTTACGTCATTAAACAAACTGAACATTCTTACATTTAGCAGTGGATATTTTTATTGCTACATCTTCAAATACAAGCGTTTCCACCCCTTATAGAAACAGACACTGTGTTCCTGCATCAGCTCCCTCTGAACGATCCCATTCTCACGTCCAAGGCTGCAATTAGATAAATGAATAAACTGGCCGAGAGGTTTTTTTCTGCTGAGTGCGGAGAACCCAGCCACCCATTCAATTAGGATCCAACCTGCAGTGCTTGGCCATTCCCACTGACCTTCATGCAACACAGCAATTACCGCAACGGTTCTCTGGGGATGTTCATAAAAATGAAATGGGTCTTTGTGAAGCCGTAAAAAATCACATATATAAAAGTGGATGCAGCACTACAATGACTGCCAAGTACTGACTCAACTGAGTGCGAGTACACCCTCCTGTTTCTTAGATTAACAGCAATAATCATAAATCTCATCATCACTGACTGCCAGTTATGTTAAGGGAGAACCCTCAGGATAACACTTCTTAAAAAACTCCAGTCGCATGCATTGAAATTCAGGTAATTCATTTAAATTGAAACAATGTTGGGTTTGCGTTTATGAGGGTGATTTGGATGAATGAACAAGAGAGGGAAATGAAACAAAGCCAAAATATCACATCGTTTAGAAAGTATGCAAATGGTGATTATCATAGGCTTTCTTGATTGCGTTGATTATGAATGATGTTTGTGAACAGAGTGGTAAACTGTGGGATGGACACAGGGTTGATTTATTGATTGATGTATGAGTATATAATAGAAATATGAGTACACTAGGACACAACATGTTAATAAGCCCTATCCCTAATGTTGCTTATTGAAAATGTATTGAATATGTTTATCGTTTTTTCATTTTTGAAATACGGCATTTTCTGATAATATTAATGTGTGAGTTTAATGAAGACATTCACGCTTAAAGGTCCCCTATTATACTGTTTTTCATCAATATATTATAGGTCTCAGATATATACAAAACATGTCTCTGAAGTGTTTGGCTCGAAATACCAAACAGATCATTGCAGCTTTACCCATAATCCCCTCTGTTTCAGCCCTGTTTCCAAAGTGCTGATTCTCTGTCTGTTAGATGAAAATAAGGAGCCCCTCCCCATGCCCCTCTGAGAGAGATTTGGTTACAAAGAACACAATGGTGCTCTAGGAGGAGATTCAGGTGATAAGGTGTGGGGGGGGGGTTACCTTGGTTGCTGATTGGCTAATGGTTACACAAGCCAAAACATCGTTATGACATCATAAAGTGGCCAAAATCTGATCAGCTCATTTTCAGACAGGTTTTATAGAAATGGATCAGGACAAAAAGAGAGAGAATCTTTGTTCCTGACATTTTCAGAATCTCTTTCCACAGAGGGGACACATGTTGATGTAGAAGAGACATGAAGAAGTGGATTTTGTATAATAGGTCCCCTTTAATGGTGGCCTAGCCTTTACTTTATGCGATATTTGGGGTGTTTGGCATTTCTTGCACTGATACTCCACTGGATGAGTGACTGGTTAGGAGGGGGCACATGATGCAGGCTGACCAAATTTCAAATTCCTGCTGCAAAAGCTAGGAGTGGATGGAGGTTTGGGCTCATGTGGGACTTGGGCTTGCCGCTGGGGTCTCAGGTTACACCCCCCCTGGGAAGTGGGCAGCCACCGACAAGGCGACTGATGCCCCCCTATTTCTGCAGCAGCTATTTAAAGGACTAATTGACAGACCAGGGGGAGTGGGTGGGGGAGAGCTCAAAGAAGGGTTTGGAGGTGGAGAGGAGTAGAAAGGCACTTGTCTTAAGTAGAGTGCAGAGTGCATCAAAGCCACATATGTGTACCTGTGTGTGTGTGTGTGTGTGTGTGTGTGTGTGTGTGTGTGTGTACATACCGAGATCTCCGTCCACAGTCTCCTCACAGCGCTGGCTGAAGCTCTCGTATGAGTCCCAGCGGATCAGAGGATCTTGGGTGTTGTAGTCCACAGAAACACTTGGCCCGTTCTCCAGGTGTCCTAGGCCTGAGGGACATATGGCATGATGGGTAATGGAGTACTCGCAAAATAAAAAATAAAACCAAAAACTTTCTTTAAGTTGGCATACATCTGTTTTCAATGTTTTAAAAAGCTATCCAACATATCATGTTAGATAACTTTAGTTACAGTAAGTTGTACATTTTTTTTTCAATGTTCTACACCATTTTCCCCTTCAGTCAGGTGAATTGGATTACCTCTGATTTTGTCTGGTCCATATGAGAAAACAAACTCCACCTTCCCATGCTCTGGGAACCTCTCATCTGCATAGAGACACAGTATAAAAATAATATTTTTAAAACAAAGGACACAAACACACAAAAAACTGCATGACGATAAAAGTAAAATACACACAAAAAAGAAAAAAAAAACAGACACTCATAGATCAGATGGCAATATTTTAATTTAGAGCTCATAACTTTTAACTTCATTAAAACAATCCACAATGATATGTAGCACTAAAAGTAAGAAGAAATATATTTGTTCATATTTAATGCATTGTTCTGTTATTGACAATCATCCCACACACACACAATGACAAATACTGAAAATTCACACCCACCCGAAGTGCCGTTACCTTTGAAGGTCTCGTCCAGCTCGTTCTTCCCGAACACCACCCCCAGGTCGTGGATGGCGCAGGTGTGGAACTGCACCCTGAACATCACGTCTCGGGTGGAGTTCCTGAACCTCTTGTGGTAACACTTCAGCTACGATAAGATAGAAAACATCAATACATGAATCAACTCAACAATCAGCATTAACATCGTATTTTAAATAATGGAATCTTACCAGGATGTCTCCCTTCAGAAGCAGCCCGGGTTCAATAGTGATGCAGATACTGGTGTTGCTGTCTCCTTGCACATTGCTGTAGAGAAAACATGAATAATGTCTTGTTAAATCCAATAAACGGGACAATAAAGTTCTTTATTCAAACTACACTGAAGTGGAATGAAGGTTTCCGTACTATATTCCTGACGTATAGACTGGTTGCATTGCCTGGTAGACCTTCAGGAACGGACGGCAGCCTGTAAAGAGAAATAAAGAAAGTAATTGAAGAATTTCAGAGGAAACAATAATAATTTTTTTCTGTGTGTGTGAGTCAGCTTCTCACCTCCTTTGGCCTCAAAGTTGGGTATGCCGTGCATGATGACGTGATGCAGGAACAGGGGCTTGTTGTTGATTTTGATGTGTCCAGAAAGAAGGCCGTTGAAGTATTGCACATATCTACAGAGAAAGGAAGACAAGCAACGTCTGTGTATAACTTCTACAATATATACTGATAATAATGACGACTGTTCTTAAACAAGTATCCCACCTCTAGCTAGAAAACACACCAAATCCAATCAAATTAAACTCATCATGTGTGTCTCACCTTTACCTATTGCTGGGTATTGTACACAACTATTGCCAATATCAGTTCCCCTTATCAAAGTCAAAATACTTAATTTCTCCAAGGGGGTAATGGGTTTCGTAACATTGGTAAAAGTTATAATGAGCAATAAAAAGCTAAAATAAAAATACATGTATATTACAATATATATACACAGTGTATTAGCACTAATGCAGGTATTATTTAAATCAGGTTTTGTGATATCACTTTGTTATTTTGGTCAATACCTGAGAGCCCTGCTGTTGACTCCCACTCTGACTATAAAAGCAGCTTTACACACTGCGGGAAATGTCAGAGTGACTGTGTGTGTACAGAGGCCGGTCGGGGTCTGCTGAGTTAGTGTGGTCTGGTTGTTAATGATGATAATGATGATGGTACCGAACGCGACCTTGACCGTGGGGTCGCCACATGCAGACACCCCCCACCCCCTCTCCTCGGCTGTCAGTGGCCAGATGGTTTAGCCTCATAGAAATTCAATTAAACAGAGCGGGGGAGAACAGCGCTGGGAACCAACAACGTGTGTGTGTTTTAATCAATGAATGATCCAAACAAGAAGTACGAGATATTAAAATGTTAGGGAAGTCCCAAATTGAGCTGAGCAGGAAAACGGAATAATTGCAGATGGCCATTTCACTTTTTTTTGCACCTATTGTTTTAGCATATAGTTAATAAAATACACCAACATGGAGTTTCTTCCATTATATTACTTAATTCAATATCTCTTTCATCAGCTTAATAGTGCCCCTTTATGGCTTACATTCTTTCTCCCAAACCTCAATAAATACACTTCCATCTCTCCAGACTAAATGAATACCCTACAATGTCAGAAAAGGAGCTATCAATGCTTCCCTTTGCTTCATGTCCTCCCCTGTCTCTCACCCTTTCCTGTCCATTTTTTTAGCGGTTCTAAGTCCTTGAAGTAACTGGTTCTCAATTACTCTCCTTTCATCAGCTATCTCACATCCTCCTTTCTTTGACCTTTGACCTCCTTTTTATTACATACTTTAATGGCAATCATCCAGACAACAAATTGGCACTATTTAAACTTGTATGTCGACACAAGCATCATGAAAGGAACTTGTTATGTTCCTCAAATCTCTGCAGTTCTCCTGTGGGCAATGAACATAAAAACAAGTTAATGGTTTCGAGAAACTCTAAATGAATTCATCCCATTTCCAGTTGACTCGGATGAGAGCCTGTCCCCTCAGCGTGGGCTCATCTGGTTTGCTGTAAAATACAACAGGTAACACCTTTAATCCAAACTTTGAAAAGCTTTTATAGCAGCCGCAGCAGGTTAAGCTCATCTCCTACTCTTGATGTTAATGTCACACATTCCAGACCATAATACTTGAAGACTCCAGGGGCAGAGATAATTATATCGGAAGCAGGAAATAGCAGCGGGGCAGAGGGCAAGCGTATAGACCCGTTAGAGAATGGCTGAAATGAAGTGGTGCTAAGTCCCCTGCTGTTTCCTGTGTTTCCTCGTTTATCCCCTGCAACCTCTGTCCTGCTCATCTTTTCCCAAGAAGCAGAAGGAGGGGTCAAGCCTTTAAGCTGTTAACTGTCTAATAATGCTATTAATATGATAGGTGCAGATTTATGAGTTAAAGGAGGATGTTTGGGATGATACTCCCCCTTAGAGGGAGCTGCATTAAAAATGGTTTGAATACCTTTAAACCACTCTTGATTGGTTTGACCCGTTCTGGTTTGGAAGTTCATGAAAAGGCCATTAACTCGGAAGAAATTAGAGGGAAATATGCTCTGATATGCTGGAATGAGCGGCCACCAAGGCTCCCCAGAGACACTAGAAGAATCCCTCAGACAGACAAGATAGACGGCTTCTCTCCAGGCTATGACGTTTACTCACAATTATCCCAATTAAAATTCAACTGGAGATAAACAGCGGAAAAACAGGAAGGAATGTACTCTGTAAAATGAAATGGGAGACATGGACAATGATCAGTCAGTTTGTCTTGTTATCGAGTGCTGTAGGGATTTTTTAGTAGGCCAACCCAGAAATTAGCATCGTGGTGGTTTACCCGACAACAGCCAATTGGGATCTTTTTACAGATTTCATTTAGCAGTGAGATGTTGAGAAATAAACCTTTTATAAAAGCAATCGATACAAAAAAGCTAATGGCAAGTAAGTAAGATGACGTTGACTTCCCCTCAAACCTTGAAGAATGTATGTTTGAGTTATGTAATGACATATCTTTGTTGTAGAAGAGTAAGTAAGGATCCAGCACTTTCTCTATTGACTCTCTGCAAAGCTCCAGTGATTGTCCAATCATAACTCAGCAACCACGGTGCTGTCGTACAGTTAAAGCGATACACCTGACATGCAGTGCTTGGTGGTTTCTCTTCACTGTAGCGAATATCAGACTCAGAAAGTCACAGGAAGTGAGGTAATGACTGACCTTATCTGTGACGGCTGACCCACAGGAAGTGCTTTGTCTTCGTAGAAGCGTCTCATGGCGAATCTGTCCAACGCCTGGTCAGCACTGCACGGCACAAAATTAGACTTGTTGCTATTATTTGCCATACTTGAGTGCATTGTGCTGTATTTTGGAAGTCATGCATATTTCTCCAAAAGTTAGAGATTTATAAAATATCCCCTGGCCTTCATCAATTACAAAGCAGCATTAAATCCTCCAGGCTCCCTCCCACCTATTAACATCTGGTTGTGTTAAAGATTGATGACATTTTCTTCTTCTCAGAGCCAGAGAAATAAGCTGGAATGTTTTGCCATAATAATCATAACGGTGTTTAATAAGTCCCAGACCTCCAGGCCTTACTGTATTTGATTGCTTTTCCTGTCCTTATAAGACCTTCTGAGGAGGAGAGTCATTGCACCAATGCACTTACATAGGTTCTTTTCAATATTGGTTATTTACCTCTGCTAATGAAGCTCTTCTACACTCCATAATTATGTGATATTGAGTTTTAAGAAGGTGTTGGATGTTGGTGATTAGTACCTTGCGGAGATGTTGCTGTAGTGCATGTACGCAGCCACCACCACCCCCGTGCGTCCTCGGTTCCCCTGAGACACAAAAACAGAGACAACAAGACGAGTTACATGATTTCAAGCTTATTTGAAAAAGGAAAATATTTCATAATGGATAAAAAGGTATCTGTATTCATCATAAACAAACACAGGAACAAATAAATCCTCCGGTAAATAGCATTAAATAGTTTGTAATCACTCTGCTTGTGTAAAGTGACAGATCGGACTCTAAAAGGCAACAACAGAGCAGGGAACAAAATGGGAATCTAGGTTTTGGAAGGTCAGCAGCCATATATGCATATTTATTATAGACATTATTTATAGTTGGAAATGTTTAAATTGCTGGTTTTCGTACACCTACATGTAGTGTGTTAAAAACATTAGTAAGTGACCGCTGTGAAGAAAAGTCAGGTCTGTCAAACACAAATTGTAGCTTTACAATGAGTTTTTTGTAGATATTTAGGCAAGTCTTTTTCCATGCACTGATCAATTTCAATTTGGTTACGGCTGTTTTGCTTCCAAAAATGTTTTCCAAAATGCAGACTTTACCCACTATGTCATTCTCCTTAATCCACCAACAGTTACTATTCGATAATGCCTTACTGCACATTAAAACACACACAACTTGTAATACCATACAATAATTTCCTCCCAGCGTTACCTTGTTGTGTAGCACCACCACGTTGCGGGGGTCTCCATTGAGCCACGTGTCGATGGCCTTGCACATGCTGCAGATCTTATCCAGCGCCGGTGCATGGTGGTCCGGCCAGCCAAACTCCAGAACCTGAAGGGATTCAAAAAGGACCAAAAGTTATTTTAAGTTTACATTCCTCTCAAACAAAAGCCCACTTGATAGATCTGCATGTGTCTGAACTAGAGCTTCAACCAAGTGTTGACCAATTTAGGAGTGGATCAATGGAAAATAATTAAAAAAGAAACTATCATGTCATTTTTTAATGAACATTTTATATTTCAGCCACTCAAATATGGAGATTTACGCTGTTTTGTATCAAAATAAAGTTGATATATTTGGGTTCCGGATTTAAAATTAGGACGTTGGACCGTAGGAAACTGGGATACACAATCTTCTGAGATTTTACAGACAATTTTAGACAGATTATCGGCAGATTAAATGATAACGAAAACAACCATTAGTTGCAGCCCTAGTCTTGACTCAAACAACACAGATGCTGAGGGGTGTACCTTTGGGTTTAACTTGGAAAGGTCACTCCTATACTCGCTCAGGTTGAGGATCTGAAACCAGAAAGAGACGGATATAAACATTTCAAAGCACACATGGACACTCAAAACATTTTTTGTTGTCCCTTAAAGAGCCACATTTGTGCAGTAAAACAATGGAGAAGTGATACAGTCATGTCTCCTGGTTCCTCTTGGGGGGGGGTTCCTCACCAGATAGTGCTCCCCGTGTTTGGAGCGCAGCATGGTGGCCACCTCCTTCAGGTTGGTGGTGTAGCTGCGCTCCTCGGCGCCGGCGGGGAAACACACGGAGATGATCCTCTCCGTGATGTAGACCAGGTCCACCTCATAGCTCTCCTCCATGGCCTGTACCACAGTCTGTGCCCTGGAGGGAGGGGGGAAGATGGTACCAATGTTCAGCCTTGTTACCGCTGCTGTGGGAACATTTCTCTCCGATTTCTCTCGCGGACTAACGACAGATTCAAAGCGATCTCCCGCAGCTCACTCTTATGTTTCTTGGAGAGGAAAATATATACAATTCCTCACTGGCTGTTGACACGACCTCTGCTGATAAAATGCAATCTATTTCACCGGCCAAACAGAGATGGGGATTATTTGCCGGTGAGCACGCAGTAAAGCCCTGCATGAACAATAACAGCGGTGGAATGATAATTTACATTCCAAGAAAAAAAGGAAAATATTCAGCATAAATAAGGGTTTTTTTAATCATCAAATAGAGATGAATTTACGATCAAAATGGATCAAACTTCACATAAGATGCAGACTTTGTCTCCCTTTGTATCCAAACAATCACTTTAAATGCTTCCTATTTCTGCATTTGGGTAAAATAAACTCTTCATTAAAGGAAATACAAACGTTGTTTCTAATTCTATTTTTTGTATGTATCCTTTTTTTAAATGTATGCATCTAAAATAATGAGAATTATCTGTCTTACCCCGACTGCTTTCGCCTTATCTCCACACTCTTGCAGGACCTCGTTGATGCCTGCAGAAACACACACAGATATGCAGAGGGTGGTGGGGGGGAGAGAAAAACGATTCATAAGCATAAGCGTCTGGTAACGATGAGGATGTTATAGAATTACAATCTGACATAAGGTATTAAAGGAAAAGTCAGATCGCTGAAGCAAAACTGAAACTGTTCCGGAGAAAGACAAAGAAATTAAGAGGAGGAGGAAAAGACAGGAGGAGGAATACAGATAGGAAAAGGAGAAACAACAGAAGAAGAAGATGTGATGAAGAGGAGGGAGATGATGGGAGAGAAGAGGAAAAAGATAGGCGAGGAAAAGAAGGAGAACATTCAAAAGTAGAGGACTAATTGCACATGGATGAAGAAGAGGAGATAATGGGATTAGAGGGGAAAAGAAAGGATTTAAAAGCATTTAAGAGGGAAAAGAATAAGACAACATCCAGATTCAGCTCTGTCAGGATTCAAGCACACACTTTAATGGTGCTCTCCTGTACTTAGTTATTTACTGGGGAAATAGCAGCAGGCTGTTTTACTGTGACAGTCCTGCAGAGGGAAATGTTGCTAAATCCTCCGTACTGTCGAGGAACCGCTGCATGCTGGAGTTCCTCTGGCTGCCCAGAGGAGGAAGAGGAAGATGATGAAGCCGTCGTACGAGGAAGAACGACAGCTGAATTTATCTCCACCTTTCCCCACAGCTTCACAAACTGTGAGCTTTATGGTCAAGTGGTGATGTTCTCTAATCATGGAGCAAGGTTAAACACACAGCTCAAAGCTCTCTCCATATTGCTTCTCACACAAGAAGCCCCCCACAGCCCCCCCACCCAAGAGCCAAAATGGGAAGCATAATTCTCCGTGATTTGACAGGAAGCAGATGCTAGGCGGACCACTGGTGTAAGCAAAATGAAACAGGCTGTTCACACGGGGCCGAGGGGGGGTTATGCCGGTACGTTTCACAGCGCAGGAACATTCTGTTGTCTTGTAGCGACACGGGTGCATGAACGCCTCGTGAAAGTTAATGCAGCATGTCATTTTTAAACGGATTTGGGGTCGTTCTGTCCATTGCATATCATTATGTTTCCCTCCGTGAGCACATTGGGCAGTTTTTCACATTTCTGCACAAATTCACAATTTCTAAACCCTGCACTGCTTTTGTCTTGTATTTACCTTATATTGTACATATTTATATTCAGTTTTTTTATTGTCTATACTTTTGTATTTTACTTCATTCTAAATTAATTTGACCTTGCAATGTTTGTGTAATGCACCAATTCACCAAAGCAAATCAATTGTTTATAAAAACTACATTAAACTGGATTCTGAAACGTGACTTTTATACAGTGAAAGTTTGACAATTAGTTGCTTAACTCCGTGGCGTTAGTTAAGTATTTTATGTAACCCTAACCCACTAATTTGAAACCCCAAACCAAAATATTTTCCTTAACTTAACCAAGTTCTCCCGTTACGTAAAACAGTTCTACCCTTGCACAAACATTACTTTATCATAAGATACAATCAAGGAAAATATAAAGATTAGATTTGGCCTGTTTCAGCTAATGTACATAAAAGAAAGTAGAGGTATGCCTATGGTATGGTCGTGAGCTCCAGAAAGGCTTCTAATTGACCTTAAGAATGGGTTTCCACACACAAAAACACATTACACTTTCACTACCAGGGATAAAAAGGAATGTTTGACTTCCTGTGTGGGAGGGGCCTACCTTGCCGAACAGGAAGCCCGTGCTCCACCTCCAGGATGAACGCAGGTGGCCGAACGGTCTTCGCATTGAGCTACCCAGAGGCATGGCTAACAGCACGGGAATCACTTCTCTATGTTTGACTATTTAGATCATAAAATAAAAGTCCTCATGACAGAAGAAGATGCGAGACCTCATCAGCGATTCTATAACGCACCATCTTCTCCTCTTCCCTCTCGATTGTCTCCCTCTACTGCTTCCTCCCTCCCTCTCACCCACTCTGTTGTCTGGAAGCACTCCTCCCTCGCTCTCATTATCTCTCATTATTTGGGACTCCCTCCCACCGCCTCTCTCGTCTTCTTCACTCCCTTTTTTCCCAAGCTGTGTGTTTGTGGACTCTATGAGTATTCTGTATGTTTGTGTATGTCTGCTGCACATGTGTTTGACCTTAATTACCCTTGAGTCACCAAAGCGTGACAAAAGCATGGAATGAAAACAACTTTTTTTTCCTATTCCATCTTTGCATTTCTTTTTGGATCAAGCAGTTCAATTGAAACTAATAAGGTCAAGTATAATGCAATATTTATAATGGCTGGTCAGTCATTGACATTTGTATTGCATTCCCATAGTTTGTATACATTCTAATTATTTTATAATGCCATAGGATGCATTCTAATCCCATATTTCATTGAAAAATAATCATTTTAAATAAGTTTGTAATGCGTTATAGACAGGATCTTGTAAAATAGATGTTAGTAAGTAAACAGAAACTATGAATGAATGTATGTGTGCTTATAGCTATAACAGTACTGTTCTATAAGCTGATTTACAGTATACACTTTCTCCTATCCTGAGCCACAAACTGATTCCAATATTCCCCACAGTGCACTTGGATGACCCCATCAGTCCCCCACACTGACCCAAATATGGTCACATTTAGGGCATTTCAACTCCAAACCACCATGGATGTGTCCGAAGAGGAAAAACGAACATTCCATCAGCACCCGGTCAGCTTTTACCAGCAGCCGGATTATCAACAGAGTCTCCTCCTCACATAAACAAACAGACCCGGTGATTAAAACGCAGAAGGAAGGCTTTTCTGATGCAATTTGGCTGCTCCTAACTTCAAATCCAGGTGCTCTATGACTAAGATCCTTCATCTGGTTAAAGAGAGAGTTAAAAATAACCAGAATACAAAAAAGGCCAAATGTAAAAGCATGGCTTAAACCTGGATACAAAGTCAATGTATGACAGCTTCTAAGAAACACAACAAATATGAATTACACCCTTATGAGAAACCGAATGAAACCAACTGTTACCTTGATTATATCTTTTCGAGACTTGAAAATGATTGGAAATATTTGGGATATTGTCAGATATTTTGAAGACAATTATCAGATGTCTTTCAGTTCCTGCTTTTCAGGCTGATATTTTCTCACACTTTAGACCCTTCTCTTCTCTTTTCTCTGTGTGAAGTCACAGACTGTGAATTCATCTCAGCACAGACTGGTGTACACACACTAATCTATGTTTATAATCTCACTCTGAATCATCGCGGCAACTTCTGCTGCCGATCTAAACAATCTGACGCAAACACTGACTCACTTTCGTGACTCACACAAGAAGAAGAAGAAGAAGATAAAACACAGGGATGCTTGTATCTGAGAATAAATGCTGCTTCTGGTTTCATGAAAGGAAAATAAAGCGCCTTATAATCTTAACGCATCTTTGTGACGCTTTCAAAGAATCTCTTTGCATTCCTAGTGGTTCTCAACTCTCTTATTTTTCTGGAATCTTGCCTTCTCTGCAACCCACCGCCCGTGCCCACACCCTTCATGCTTTTAGAGATGTCAACGTGAGCATGCATGCCTTGGCAGCGGCTCCTGGCACAGAACACACTCCATTTGCAGTGAACCGGAAGCTTCTCTCCTTTTGTAAGGTATATGCTAAATATGACTTGACACTGGCACAGGCAGGGTCAAACCATTTACCTCAGGTCAGCTGGCTGGATTTAATCAGGGAAGTGCAACTGGAATACTCATGGCTAGTTTCATTGTTAAGGTTATTTTTAGATTTTCTTCCTATTTTTCAGATTAAAAATATGTATTGGAATATTGATCGAGTTAATTCCTCTAAATGTGTCTTTAATTTAAAGTCATGAAGGTGTGGACATTTAGGTACTTTTACACATTTTATGCTTCTAATTAACTTTATTTTCAAAATAAATATTGTACCTTTTACTTATAATTAAATAACTCTTATACATTTTCAGATTTAGATCGTCAATGCAAAATGAAAATAAACAAACAAATATGATAAACTAATATAAAAAGTCAAGCTACTCAGCAGTATATAAACTAATTACAATTAAATACCAGTTGCAACACATTAATGCACAAATCATGATAATCCACTAATATAATCTCATTCTTAAAAGGAGTTATTTTGGTACTAAGTATATTTTGATGACAATACTATTATGGTAGGTAAGAATGGAGAAACCAGCTCGAGCGCGCTCGAAATTGAAAGTACGCAACCGAAAAAAATCTGCCCTTCCTTCAGACTTCCTTACAGAGCCCCTCCTCCAACACACACAAACGCGCACATGACCAATGAGGGCATGAGATAAGTTTGTGCACAGATGGAAGGCTGACAGGCAGGTAGGCCGTCCAGTTATTTTAGCCGGGCAGGTAGAAAATAATTGGTCGCGCTTTTTACAGCATTTTTGTATTCATACTGTAGATTGTACAAGAGCACCCAAATGTATGTATCAAAGTGTGTCCACATACATTTGCCCTGACGGAGTACTGTGAGACCTTTACCCAGGCGCTTTTCTGAATGATAACAGGTATGAATGAAGAGCATCTAAAGCATGTCCCGTGGCATTAACACTGAGAAAGAAGAGGTGTTACTCACCGGCGTACCTACATGCTTTAATGCCAGCTGAGGAGTGGGAGGCTGGAGAGAAAAGTGAGACAGTCAGAGAGTTAGTCATTGTTTCTCTCGCAGCGAGGGAGGAAACAACATGGTGAGGAGAAGAGGATGAGGAGGAGAGAGAAGAGGAGAGAGTATATCTGGCTGTCCGATCAATTGTGTGTCAGTTTAATATATGCAGACTTTGCATACAAGACACTGTTTGTTGACACTTTAACTAATTATATAGCAAATAATCTGTTTCTAGAATGAAGCCATTTTTTTTTTCACTTGCATTTTGACCATTATATTTCACATTGAACTATTATTTGGACCATTGATTCAGCTTAAGTAGCACCAAACATTTTGTTATTTTCTTAGAATGTAATAATGCCTACAATTGTCATAAAATGTGCAATGTAAGAAAAACCAATATTGTAGCCTGATAGCTAGATGTATTATCCTGATTAATATTGTAATGTATTTTTTACCAATAATACCATATTGCATTATGAGGAATTTAATACATTTCTAGGCGGTGAGTGAGGACACTTGTTTTATCACATTTTATTGCAAAGGTTTATTTAAATCGAGGTTGACTTGCTAGATTTCGTTTAGTGCTTTCACACCTCACGATCAAATAAATTATAACTTGAATGATAGCAATGTCCATACAAATAAAAAGGCGAAAACCGCTGAATTTCATAGACGAATCATATAGGAGAGGCAGAGATGTAAAAGTAGAAAGAAAGTATGAAACAGAGACAGAGAGAAAGTGTGTTTGCCTCTCCACACACACTCCCAGACACACACACACAGCTTGACAGTGATCCATGTGTTAAGGAAAATCTCCTAACTGAGTTAAGTACAGCGTCTTAGGCTCTATAAACAAACCCGGGGACTGTTTAACAAGCTGCTGCAGTGCTTTTAAACGGCCAGCGTCCAACGTAAATAAGTGAAAAGTAGTTACTGTGGCCCGGAATGTTCCTAATTTGGTCATATCGTCCGCAGTTAATCTTTAAAAATACAAGGGAAAATGCCACTTTTTGACTGAGAATGATCAAATCGCTCTCCCTGCTGCTTTTCTAATCATGTCCGACAATTGGCTGAGCATGCATTCTTCATGGAAAGTGAATGAGCGCTCCCGTTTCAAGCTCATTAAAGTGAGAATCACTCAAGCCTCTGTGTTGCAGTGCGTACACTTTGTCTTGTAAAGTAGCAGCCCCTAGAGGGAAGGGGAATAATCACTCTGACTGCTGCTCGGTATGTCCTTACCTCATCAGTCTTAAAATACCTTAAAACACTTATTTTTCGTGGATGCTTTGCCCCAAATGTAAACTGCAAACTGATGTTTTAGTATGTAATAAATATCTGCATTTAAATACACATGTAGTGTTCATAATGATGCTTTTAAAATCGAGAAGGGATCCTTTACAACTGTCCCAAAATCTAAAGATTGCGAGGACTAGAGTGAAAGCTACATATTTCTCCTCCAAAAAGAACCCTTAGTGGGGAAGATTTATGACCGATGTTTATCTGTTGTTATCTTATCTTATCATCAGTTAGCGATAAGGCGTTTAAGAAACGCTTCAAGATGCGTCATCAGCAGTGAAGTAGAACCTGCTCTGAAGTAAACATGGATGCTAACGATGCAGGATTTGACCTTTTAAGGAAAAGTTGGTTATTTGAGTATCAATAAATACTGTAAATAATATTAAATGTGTACAATACTACAGTATTTTGGAATGAGAAAGCTGTACAGTTTGGTGAATAATGTGCAAAACTGTATCTTGGATCATGGAAAAATGTGTTTGGATCATTCTGGTTGCCAAAACAAATCTTAAAAAAACAATATAATATAGTAAAACAATATATGGCCCTTTTTAACTCTCACAGGAACATTTGTGTTTGCCATTTTGTTCGTTTTTAAAATGTGACCACAGTCTGGTTGTGTTGTTAGATGGTTATATCATCCCTTCTTATAGCATATATAAATTATTTTAAATTCCAATAGCTGTGAGGCGAGAAGAATATATTTTTCTGATATTTTTCACCCTTTTCTGTACGCTCTAAGAAACAGCTGCCTCTGACATCATCACCATCAACTCCCTATCCCCTCCACAGCTGACATGTCGGCTTTGTCGGATTTTTCTTGTGGGAAAAGGAGGAAGCTCTTATGGTTATAGCCTCTGACCTTTGACCTCACAGCGCTCCCTGTGTGTGGTTCCGCCACAATCCCAGGGAGAACCATTGCATTATGAAGGGGGTCGACAAGGCCTTTAAATACCGTTTAATTCCACGCACACACTGCAATGATACACACACACTCACCGGCTCATTGTTGTTCGGTATCTGACATGATGTGGTGACCTGTAAAGGGAGAAATAGAAATCATGAGTAACACAACTAAAGGATCTCTGAAGTACTTACTACTGTAAGAAGTGCGTCTATTTTTGTAGCAACAGAAAGGAGGAGACATCTCTGAGTGTTTCCTCCTGAATGCCTGAGTATTCCCCAAATCACCCCCTGCAGAACAGAAATAGCCCCTGCCTCATAAAGAAGCCTCTTTTTACTGTTCCTCAGTGTGGGAAACTGGTCCCGGAAAAATCACATTTGGCACTGATTCACATTGAGAGAGAACGCTTCCTGTTAAAGTAGGAGCAACTATTAAATAACGCTGTCGGTTCACACATAGGTTGAAGCATTTAGCTATGTCTTTTGAATTCTTCTTGCATGATGTTTGGACGGTCTGAGAGAATCCAGGCAAAACCACAAATGTTTACACTGCGCAATCCCAACACTTTGCCCTGATTAGCTTTTGAGTAAACGTGACTTTTAATGTGTTTGTGACCATATTTTACCCACGCAATGAAGCCTTAAAACGATGGAATAAGCACGGTACACTAGAAGCATCCATACATTGCCTATATGTGATCTCAACAAAGACCCATTAGCGCTTTGACTCCATTGTCATCAGCCTGAAATTAGGATTTGTGGTGGTTTTGTCTATATTGGTCAATTTGTGTTTTTTCAGAGCAGTTTATTTCCCTAATGAATCGCTCGTTCTGTAAAACATGACGACTTGTGCCAAAAATATGTCATTAAGCATCCAGTTTTGTCTGATCAACAATCTAAAATCATGCACATTTAATTCAATACAATATAAGATGAAGAAAAGCAGCTAAATCTGCCATGTTAGAAGCTGGAAGCATTCATTTTGTTTTGCTTGAAAATGGACTCAAACGAATATTTGATGATCAGTAGTGGCCTATTAATTAAATGATTGTTTAATCCTTGGGTTATCTAGCAAGCCTGGTGTTCATTGAGACATTGCTAGTGATAGAACAGCTTTTATTTTGAAAGTTGAACATCAAACAACTGGGTGGCACTCCAGCACTATAACATGCAGAGTTAGGAGCAGTACCTGCTGCCAAGCTCTTAGCAACAGCATCACTTGTCCTCTAATAATACTATCACCTCAGAATTAGAGCGGTATTGACTTCCTCATGTTCCGATGCCACATGAATCATCTTTAAATAGCAGGCTGCTTTGATAGTCAACACATTTCGCTCATAGTATCCATGACAGGCAAGTTAGTGTGGCTCCTAATAGTCTGTGCACAACAAATCGCTGATTAGGATGCACAAACAGGGCCTCTGCTGATAGACTTCCATTTGATTGTATTTACTTTACTGTGCACGATAAACATGCACGTGGGAGCGCACGGAGGCATACGTGTGCAGCGAGTGGACGGATGTTTACGAGCGGAGAGATGACAGCGCGCTATCAGAAGACTACAGGCTCGGGCGGGAAGGAAGCGGTTGTAATTAGTTTGCTCTGGGAAAACAAAAGACTCATTGACTTTGTAATGCTATCATGAAGCGTATCAGAATACAGGAGTGGGATAGCATCGCTGAGGATCCAGGGCACGCTGATATGTGATGGCATCAGTCCACAAGCTGATATGTGCCCTACTTCAAAAGGCTGACCAACAGTGTGAGTGGGATGTTTAAAGAGAGACCACAACTACACCACAATAAAGGCGGCAACCATTGACAGGAAAACAATCAACAACTTTATTTATAATTGTAATTTTTCAAAGCAAAAATGCCAGGAAATTGAGATTTTCTCTGGACTTTTATCATATTAAAATGAAAATATTAAGCTTAGACTGACTTGCAAGGCATTTAATCAGAAGCAGAATCGGGTTTATTGCCGAATAGGGACAAGGAATTTGTATAATGATGTATAGATGAACACAATGAGGACTTTAAAGAGACAAAATAGAAATATAGAAAAAAATATAGAAATAAATCAAGATATATAAAAAAGTAATATCTGACATATACATAAAAGTAAGTAAGTACAAAAATATAAAAGAGTATGACTAATTACTTTGGGAAACTGGGAGTTGTCTCACTATTTTCTGATTTTATTTAGAAAAAAACAATTCATCATTTTGTGGACCAATCAGAGCAGACTGGGCTCTGGTTTGAGACAGAGGGTGAAAAGAGGTGCTGCAGCACAGGCAGTATGAGAAAATAAAGAGCTTTTTGAACATTAAAGCATGAAGACATGAAGAGACACTACATACAACTATGAAACTGAAAATGAGCAGAGTAGGGCCCCTTTAAAATCACTGCCATTCTTAATCGTATAGATTTGACTTTAAAAGCCAATATTTGCAAGCCTTCAGTCAAAAATCCCCCTCAAGGTATGCAGAGAACATTGGGAAAATATTTGATGGACCAAATGTATGTGGGTCAAACCATCAGTAGTCTAAATGACTGATTAATATCCAGTTCACTTGGACTTTATTCTTGTTTGTGTATACGTGCGAGAAACACATCTAGGAGGTCCTCATTTGGAATGGCCTGGTTAATAAAGTGAATGAGTAACAACTGTTGCAGCTGTGGGCGCTACAGGGAAGTGGATAAAAAGAGAATGAATGATATTAACGTTCAGCTTTAGTTGGAAGCATATGAAAGTTGCTCGTACCAGAAAGCCAGGAGCGAGTCGGCTCATGCTCGCTCTTTACAGTTCCTGCTACCTGGGGCCGCGGCTGACATTCATATATCAGTGTTGGCGGTCCCAGTGGCCCCGGGGCCTCGTAGCAAGAGCATCTGCCTTTTATTTACAGCTGACAGGGCCTGTTCTGTGCGCTGTACTGTAGCATACGTCTGCAAATGTCCTGATGATGACTCCCTCCAGTATTGATGTAAAGGTCAGAGGGGTGTAGTGATGACTCTGGGCTTCAGATGCTACTTGAGTGTTTGAGAAACAAGCGGCCAATTGCAACAAAACACCTTAACAATCTACTGTATGACACTTAAGGCTTACATTGTCTTAGGAGTGTCATAACAATCCCTTAATAGGTCTTGTTAGATAAGGTAAAACGATGTTACTACATCATTTACAGTCATTTTAACCAGCCACTGATTCATTTCTTTAGAAGCATTTTCACAGAATCATACACACTTCTTGTTGATATCACATCACATGTTAAGCTATGCAGTCATGACAGCCGGAGCAGCAGACAGAGAGAAATCACAGACTTCCTAATCTCACATTCCTTCAAACAACGTGTCTCTAAAATCTGCATCACCACGCAACCAAGTGAGAGAACAACAGCTACCCTGATTCATCCATATATGGTGGGTGCAGCTGGATGGTGGACTAATACAGGCTTCATGAGGTCTTTTCCAGCTCAGACGGATATAAGTGGAGGGATCTCAGAGAGGCCCTGCCACACGCTTCAGCATCGGGACATTTCTTGCAACTGAATATCCTAAATCATGATGATTGACCTTTTCTTTGGCCTCTGAATGACCAGCAGACCACAAAGAAAGCTCTCCAACATCGAGTGAAAGACAATCAAAGTGGCTTTTGAAACAGGGAGCTTATAATCTCATGGAGTCACGAGGGGCGTCTGGGAAGCCACTGAACTAGAACAAGGAGTCAAGCGAGCCACCGGGGGGGCCCCTGCTGCAATTTCAACCCATCCAAGAGGCCTCGTTAGGGGGCAAGCAGAGGTCAGCTGAGGCGGGACGTTGTTGAATTACCCGCAGCAAAGGTCAAATGTCTCAGGTGAGTCTCGGCGGCTTCACGGAGCTTCCCTCCTTTGTCTTGATCTCGTCCCCCTTCGCAATAAGAGCGTGGATCAGCGAGAGCTTTAATGATTTTGCAAAAGTGCCGCTCAGGTACTCATGAGGGTTTATATTGAAATGGAGAAGGAGAATATTAAAGCAGGACTCTCGAGCCACGTCCACTGAGATGAACCGTCGTATAATGAGTTAACATGATGCTGTATAAGAGTGATGAATTCTCGTCAAACAGGCTGGAACAAGCATCGCAGAGAAACCAAGCAAGAAGAAGACTGGCTTGCTCAGCAAAATAAAAAAGACAATTTTTTTTACCTAAAGAAAATGCATGAAAAACCTTTTTGTGTTGTTTTTTTGTCACCTTTGTTATTTTCTAGAGCTCTCATATTGGGCTGCAGTTTTCTCGCAGATTTATGCCCATTTGACATAGCATTATCACTTTGATCTTACTTCCATTTCAGCCCGATTGATGGGAGAAAGCATGTTTGCAACGGTGCATAAATCATCTCATTGGCTCTAATAAATAAGCCCGCCATTGGTCCCAACCACACTCAAAATTCCTCAAGCACTCCTCCTGCCCACACAAGAGCCACTGCCGCGCTGATGGCAGTTTGCCTGAGAAAGTAAATTCTTCACTTTCCAAACGGGGGCCAAATAAGGACTGAAGCTCAAACAGCCCCTTTGGAGGGATTTATACATCGGCTGGGTTTCTGTTTAACTTGGAAGGCTACTAAATCCGCAGAGCTCCGCGATGGGGAAGAGCCGGTTCCTTTCTCGCTTTGACATTTTGACATAATGGCAAGTGTGTTCCGTGCCATGTTCGGCTGGGTGGCAGTGTGTTGCTGGCAAGAGCGCCCTGGTAGGTTCAAGTGATGTTGTCAGTGGCTGAATAATATCGGATGCGGAATTTAAAAGAGATAAATCATGTTGTAGTAAAAATAATGGCAGAATTGATTAGTCATGCAGAATGCTGCCAAGTAACAATATTGCATGGGAAAGTTTTACCACTAACATGCCGACTATCATTTCTAAGAGTCCATTATTCAACGTAATTTAAAACAGATAATCCACTCTGTAAAAACATAGCTATTTGTTGGATATCTACATTTGGAATGAATCACAAGCTTTTCAGGCTTGGCTTGGCCATGAAGGTCCAATTGCTGAAGTCTAAATAATTGTTTTTGTAGTAGAAAGTAGAAAACATTCCACGCCAGCTGTTTTTACACTGGTGTCCATCGACACCCGGTAGCGCAACACAAACAAAGTATT